TTGACATGTGGACTCCGTTGTCCGTTATTTGATTAGGTAGATGACGTGGCGAGTCTATCGAGAAAAAAAAAATAATAAAAAAGAAAAAAATATTTAAAAATTAGTTAGAAACTAAAATAATAAACGGCAAATAAAGGAATTATTTAATATTCTCGTGTATATCCGGTGGTGCGATATACGCTTCCAAAAAAGAATCACTGGGCGCGTGGGCGCGTGATGTCAGTGCCGTGACAGAGAAGCCTTACGTGTCCGTGAGCTGCATTGTTTCCGGCGAGTTTTATCTTTTAACTATTTTTTTTTTTTTTTGTTATTATTGGAAGTTACTATTAATTGTATTATCAAACATATCTTAATTTCTTAATTTTTTTAAATAAATATTTTAGTTATATCCTCAAAATTAAAATAATATGATACATGTTTTAAAAATATTCTCAGACAAACTATTTAATTTTTAAATAATTTATTTCCAAGACTCTCTCAATCTTCCAATTTTTTTTTTTTAAATTAAAAAAATTATCTTATTTAGAAAAAAGAACTATAAAAGTGTTATTAACCTACCTTTTTTCTAAAAGACAACTTGGGTGTTATATTGACTACACTCGTAAAAACAACTTGAGTGTTATTGACCTACACTCGTAAAGACAAGTTGGATGTGATTAACATACACTTTTGAACTTGAGGGAAGTGTTGAGATATTATATTTTGATAATATATTATTTATGAAATATATTTTAGATATTATATCTTAATATTTTTTCTTTTATGATTTGATTTATAATGTATTTTATTTTATTCGAAATATTTAATTAATTTATATTTTCTTTATTTGTACGTATTAGTCGCTATCTTGTAACCTATTTAAAACTTATAGCTAGGTTATAAGATACTTACTAATACCTACATATATAAACTAATTAAATATTCAGAATAAAATAAAATATACTATAAATCAAATCATAAAATAAAGAATATTAAAATATAATAGCTAAGATATATTCCATAAATAATATATACTCCAAATATTATATCTCAACTCTCCTCTTTAAGTTGGAGAGATATAATATCTAATTTCATAAATAATATATACTCAAAATATTATATTTCACTGAACTAATTTGAAAATAATTGGTATGGATATTCTTGTTTTTTTTAATATATATATATATATATATATATATATATATATATATATATATATATATATATATATATATATATATATATATATATATATATTTATTTATTTATTTATATAATTTTCTTGCCAACTTTTAGCAATTAAGTGGGATCTAAAACTTAGTTATAAGAATAGAATGATCATAAAATGAATTAATATATTAATTATTGTTTTTTTTAATAATCGTGATTGGTTTTAAATAAAGTGGAAATTTTAAATTATAGTTTTATAAAAAGATTATTATTTTAATATTGAATTATGATTTAACTATTAAATAAAAATCATATTGTAATATCTAAAATAAAAGAAAATAAAAACATATATTTTTCTCAAATTGTCTGAGAATCACTCGTTTTTATCAATTTTTTTTTTAAAAAAACAATATTCTTTTTTCTTTTCTAATAAAAACCCCATATTTATATAATTGGGCTTTTAAAAATAAATAATATTAAATTAATGAAAAATTATTGACAATATCTCAAATTATTTAGTCAATAACATTGGCTTGACTTTAAGTCAACCCTTATTGTCATGCGTTGAATTTTCTCTGGTTCATGAATTTCTAGTCATAAAAGCAAAACCAGGAATATGAATAGTTTAACTTCTTTATTATTATTTATTTTAATCTAAAATATTAATTTAGAAATATTATTTTTTATTTTTTAAAATATGTGATATGAGAGGTTCAAATCTGGATTCAATTTATGTATTTTTTTTTATTCTTGATTTACTTTAATAAATTTAATCCATTAATTAAATTTTGAATAATAAATTAATTAATTTTAAAATATCACACTCACAATTTTCGCTTTATAAGTCTATTTGACTGAGCTTTTGATTTGGTCTAAATGACATCTTTGTCAATTTTGCTTTTTATTTGAAGATTTATTCTTATTAAAATGCATAAAATGGTGGTCGAAAAAATATATATTTGTGTATTTTTTTTTTTTATTTATTCTTATTAAAATGCATAAAATGGTGGTCGAAAAAATATATATTTGTGTATTTTTTTTTTTTTATAAAAGGCTAAATTAATAAAAATATCATCGAACTTTATACTTTATCTCAAAAATATCTCTAAACTTTTAAAATTTTCAATAATACCTTTTAACTTTAAAAATAGTTAGAAAAAACAAAAATATCTCTAAACTTTTAAAATTTTCAATAATACCTTTTAACTTTAAAAATAGTTAGAAAAAAAAAATACAATTTACGGTTAGTTTTGGATGAAAAATGTTTCACAAATGCCCCTGAAAATCAAAAAATTTATTAATACCTTTGAACTTTGTAAAAAATTAAAAAATATATTTTTACGGTTAATACCACGTTTAAAAAATAATCATAAATTTTCAAAATACTATATATTATCGATCCAGAGTTAAGGAGGTTAAAGAGTATTAATGAAAATTTTTAAAGATTTTTTAACAGAGTATTAGTTTCCGTCCAAAATTAATGGTAATAATATTTTTTAAAGTATGCTAAGTGCTTGAAAACATGTAAAAATTGAAAGCATGATAGATTGTTCGATTATGCCGTTTCTGGCATTTATTTCTATTGATGAAGAGGTGATCTTGTACTTTTCGAAAAAAGAATGCAAAGACCCTTTGTAGAGATTTGTTTGGTATCTAACAACTCAGCAACAGTTGGACGTGTGGAGAATGGTGGAGTAACCCAAAAACGTTTGGATGGAGTTAGATCTAAATCTTGGCTAGGCAAATATCCTGTAGTAGCTAGTAGAGAGAAATGACAACTCAAGCCCAACACTAGTAAGAGGAGTTGTAACAGTTCAAGCTCAACGCTAGCAAATATTGTTTGTTTTGACCCATTACATATCGCAGTCAGCCTCGCGGTTTTAAAACATGTCTACTAGAGAGAGGTTTCTACATGTTTATAAGGAATGATTCTTTCTCCTCTCCAATCGATGTGGAATTTCGCAGGAGTAGTTACGGACCTAGTAAACTCTATGAGAGTGGTGAAGGACACTCTCTACCTAAATATACACGAACTGAAAACAAGAAATTAAAATTGCAAACCTAAACATAGTTTAACTACTTAAAACGCATACCACCGACCAAAAGATCAAACAGTATTCAATCCAGTCCTCTAAATATTGAAAAGGGGGTCGAAGGTGACATCTGAACAACAAGTTGCAACTCGTTCCAACCTCCACTAGTGAAGACATCGCCTCCTCCTCCTCCTCCATCCCGACCTCCACCGCCTCCTCCACCATCAACGCCGTTCCAAAAGCTCGACGGGTACAAAGAAGAGGGTTCAAAGGAATCATAGGGTAGGGTTAAGCTAGGGTTAAAGAAGCTATTTTTTGGGGGGAAGAAGAGGTTGAGCTGTTGAGAAGGGTTTGGCTTAGTTTCAAGGTCTATTAGAGTTGGAAAGGAGTTATTATTAGGGTTTTGGGGTATGGGAGATATTATTGGACTGTACTTTCTAATTGATGGGATTCTTCTGAAGATTCT